AAATATATGAGCCTTTACTGCCTGAGATAAAAGATGTCTCTTAGCCATGGCTGTCGCAGCTTATTGATCTCTAGCCACTCGACAGGGACAGTGCCATCCCAAGCTGGCAGTGGCTACATTATTTTTCAGCCAAAGTTCATTCATAGTGAGTAACCATATGAAGCTTTGTTTTAGGCCTCCAGGTCATCACAGCCAGCGAAATGCAGCCAATGGATTCTGTGTGTTCAATAATGTTGCTATTGCAGCCCAGTATGCAAAAAGAAGATACGGTCTACAAAGGTTAGTATATATTTGTCTCTGGGGCAGGTTTTCAAAGGCACAAATGCCAGTTAGGTGTCTAGCTCTCAGTGAAAATCCATAGGTATTTGGCACCTAATTACCGTTGTGCCTTTAGTAATCTTCTCTTCTGTTATTTACCATTCTATTAGTGTGGTATTTCTAGTGAATATTTCCTTTTGATTTATGCAGAATTCTCATTGTTGACTGGGATGTGCACCATGGGCAAGGAATTCAATATATATTTGAAAAGGATCCCAGGTTTGTAATTTTCCTTTGTATATCAGGTTGGTTTATTTTTGTAGAATAAAACCCAGCTTATTTTGAAAATAGAAATTCCTACAGAATGCCTCTCATTCTTCTAGGTACTTCATTCTCTTTGAAATTGTGTTTATTTATTATCATTTTGTCAAACAGAAACAAATCTTTAAACCCAATTAAAAACAATTTGCAAGTCTACTCTAGAAAAAACTGGCACATTATGAGCCTGATAGCTACTTTTATTTGCTGATAGAAAACTCTTTCTACATTACTATCCAAATATTCAGTGAAAAGCTCGTCTAAAAAAATGGTGTTCTTCTGTCTTCTGAAAGGCACAAACTCTGAGCCCATCAGCTACACCCCTGTTTTACAAAATAATCCTTTTATCTGGCCTTAGAAGGGTCTATGTCAGAAACTTACAGCAAATGTGCCCCTGCTGAATTTGATTATTGTGATGGACTATATAGAGCTTTTCAAGTAAGTGAGAGCCAATTCAGAGATATTAGTGGAGAGAAAGATGGGAAATGTTTGCTACTGAAGGCCTGTTGTTATGCGTTCTGTGAAATGAGCCAGAAGGTTAGATGAAAAAAGATCCTTCATAACTTTTGTTTCAATTTGGTCTGTTTCTTCTTTCTTTCTTTCAGTGTTCTCTATTTCTCCTGGCATCGCTATGAACATCAGCAGTTTTGGCCCTTACTCAGAGAGTCTGATTATGATGCAGTTGGTCAGGAAAATGGAAAAGGATTCAATATAAATGTACCTTGGAATAAGGTAAATGTTGCTTGACAGCATAACAGTGCAAATCCAATAGCTTTGTCTGTCATGTGTTCAAGCAGTGTCTTAGCAATTTTAAAAATAATACTTTTTATCAGAAATGCTTTGATTTGATTGTGTGACCTTTGCCAAATATTCTGGCAAATGGAATCTCTGTGAAAAAATATGACTTCCAGTGTGATGAATTAATCAGTCTGTCACCAATTCATACATTCTTCCTTTACCTGTACGTTATTTAGTTAGGCCCCAGTACAGTAAATAATTTAAGCATATGATGAAATCCATCCCTCTTCAGCCAAGAACTTAAGCACATTCTTAAGACCCATTGAATTTGTTTGCTTACATCCTTTGCTGATTAGGCGTGGACGGCTGTATTGGGAACTTAAAAGATAACCTTAACAACTGAGGCTCTAGCTTTGTATTCAGTTCTTTCTTTTTAACCATTACACATGCTTTTCCCTAAAATTTTGGAGGAACTTGAGACCAAGATCCACAAAGCGACATAAAAATTGTAGAGCTCAGCTTTGCAATGCCTAACTTTTAGGCACCTCTAAAACCACAAAACCTGAATTAGGATGCTAGATGCTCCATACAGTAATTGGGGGAGAGATAGGCACTTGAGAAGGCCAATGGGAGATGCAGGTAATAGGGGGATGTTCGAAGTCCTTCTTCTCTGATAGAGTTAGGCTATGTCTACACTCCACATTTATTTCAAAATAACTCCTATTATTTTGAAATAACAGAGTGTGTGTCTACACAACAAGCCCGTTATTTTGAAATAATGTCAAAATAACAGGCTTCTTCATCTGACTTCTATAACCCTCATTTTACGAGGAGTAAGGGAAGTTGAAGGAAGAGTGTTCTTTCTTTGACTTCTGCCTACTTTGTAGACAGCACCAAAAGCCAAGTTAAGGTACTTTGACTTCAGTTACACAATTAGGCTATGCCTACACTGTGAGATCTTCTGGCAAAAAATATGCTAATGCGGGACTCATTTGCATGAGTCATGATCTCATTAGCACATTTTCTGCCATTTCTTTTTGCGCAAGGGGTTTTTGCACAAAAAGAAGCAGTGTGGACGGGAATTTTTTTGTGCAAAAACCTCAATTTTGTGCAAGATCCTTATGCCTCTCCAGTTTTTTTGTGCAAAAACCTCAGTTTTGTGCAAGATCCTTATGCCTCTCCCGTCACTGGGTTAGTTTGCAGTAAAAAATAAAACAAATGCATTAACAACAGGACATAGGTTAAATGAGCCCAAGTAAAAGGAATACAGTTAGAAAGGGGTACAATCGAATAAAAATTAAAAAAAAACCATCTAAAAGTCTAAAACTTACAGAACACTAGAACTGGAAGGGACCTCGAGAGGTCATCAAGTCCAGTCCCTTGCCATCATGGCAGGACCCAGTATCGTCTAGACCATCCCTGATAGATGTCTGCCTAAACTGCTCTTAAATATCTCTAGTGATGGAGATTCCGCAACCTCCCTAGGCAACTTATTCCAGTGTTTAACCACCCTAACCATTAGGAAGTTTTTCCTAATGTCCAACCTAAACCGCCCTTGCTGCAGTTTAAGTCCATTACTTCTTGTCCTATCCTCAGAGGCCAAGGAGAACAATTTTTCTCCCTCCTTATGATACCCTTTGAGATACCTGAAAACTGCTATCATGTCCTCTCTCAGTCTTCTCCTTTCCAAACTAAACAAGCCCAGTTCTTTCAGCCTTCCTTCATAAGTCATGTTCTCTAGACCTTTAATCATTCTTGCTGATCTTCTCTGGACCTTCTCCAATTTCTCCACATCTTTCTTGAAATGTGGTGCCCAGAACTGCACACAGTACTCCAATTGAGGCCTAATCAGCACAGGGTAGAGCGGAAGAATGACTTCTTGTGTGTTGCTCACAACACTCCTGTTAATACATCCCAGAATCACGTTTGCTTTTTTTGCAATGGTGTCACACTGCTGACTCATATTTAGCTTGTGGTCCACTATTTCTTCCTAGACAGTCGCTTCTCATTCTGTATGTGTGAAACTAATCGTTCCTTCCTAAGTGGAGTACTTTGCATTTGTCCTTATTAAACTTCATCCTATTTACCTCAGACCATTTCTCTAGTTTCTCCAGATCATTTTGAATTATGACCCTATCCTCCAAAGCACTTGCACCCCCTCCCAGTGTGGTATCATCTGCAAACTTAATAAGCAAACTCTCTATACCAATATCTAAATCGTTGATGAAGATATTGAACAGAACCAGTCCCAAAACAGACCCCTGCGGAACCCCGCTTGTTATGCCCTTCCAGCAGGATTGTGACCTGTTAATAACTACTCTCTGAGAATGGTTATCCAGCCAGTTATGCACCCATCTAAGTTGTATTTGCCTAGTTTATTGATAAGAAGATCATGCGAGACCGTATCAAATGCCATACTAAAGTCTAGGTATACCACATCCACCGCTTCTCCCTTATCCACAAGACTCGTTATCCTATCAAAGAAAGCTTTCAGATTGGTTTGACATGTTTTGTTCTTTACAAAAATCATGCTGACTGCTACTTATTACCTTATTATGTTCCAGGTGTTTGCAGATGAATTCCTTAATTACTTGCTCCATTATCTTTCCAGGCACAGAAGTTACATTGATTGGTCTGTAGTTTCTTGGGTTGTTCTTTTTTCCCTCTTTATAGATGGGCATTATATTTGCCCTTTTCCAGTCTTCTGGACTCTCTCCCATCTTCCATGATTTTTCAAAGATGATAGCTAAAGGCACAGATACCTCTGTGATCATCTAACAAGGTATACGCTTTGTTCAAGATGGTTTCTCACATTCAGTTTTCAGAGACTTCAGACTAGGAATGTTAAATATTAGTTAGGAAGCTAATCAAGTAGTCGATGGAATTTCCATCAACTAGTCAATAAGGGGGTTTGCTGCGGCTCTGCTTTTTAAATGTAATAAGAGCCTGATGGGAGCTGAGTCCTGACAGCTGAGTCCCAGTTCCCACCCGGTTCTAGATGCTATGGCTTTGCTTTTTAAAGAGATGCAACGTCTGGGACCCGGTGCGAGCCAGGCTCTTACTACATTTAAAAAGCAGAGGCGCAGTGTCTGGGGCCTGGCTCGCACCTGGGACTCTTCGGTCCCATTTCCCCTGCTGCACCTCTGCCTCCTTTGCCCCTTGCGGAGATGGTGCTGCAGGGAACTGGCTTTTAAGTTGGCTCCCCCCAGTACTGGCTCCTGCTCCCTCTCCCTCCACCCCCCCGCTTCCTCTGATACAGAGGTAGTAAGGGGAGGGCAGAGGGACTAGTCAAGCAGTGACTCGACTAGTCACTTACATTGCTACTTCAAACCCCCCCCTTGGTTGAAGAAACCATCTTTCTTAGCATACAAGAACTCTTTTTCCCTTCTGTCAGTCTAGTGATGAATGCCAAATATGGCTTCTGTCTTTACCTATACAGGCAGTCCCCGAGTTACGCGGATCCGACTTATGTCGGATCCGCACTTACGAACGGGGCTTTCTCGCCCCGGAGCTCGCAGGCAGTGGGACCGCCCAGAGCGCAGCGATCCCGCCACCTCGACCTCCGGGACGAAAAAAGCTGTTCCGGGTGCCCCTGGTCTGCTGGGGA